ATATATATTAATAAGATTTATATTAAATATAAATATATGTTACTCCAAACTTTAAATTCTAAAGACCATCAATTGTATTTTAAAAATTGTACCTAAATTTTATTTTAAAGATAATATATATTAGGGTGACGAATTTCATTTTTTCTTCCTCATTAATATTCAGTATTAAAAAAGTTTAATGGTAATAATTTTTATTAAAAAATGTTTTACATAGTCAACTAAATAGAAAACATCAAGATAATTATTTTAAAAATTAACAGATTTAATATAGTAATTTGTGATTTTAGATAATAAAGTAAAATTATTACCATTAGTACATATATACCCTCTTTTCTCGTATTAAAAAATTAATTTTGATATTTAAATTTTTTTATATTGTCAACTAAATAAAAGTCAATTTAAAATATTTTAATTAAATTCATATAATTTTTAATTTTTCATTCAATTCGTCATTCCTTTTTGTTATTCACAATATTGCTTTCTATTTGTATAACTATACTTATTTATTTTGTTAGTAAAATCTTGGTTAACAGTATTTTTATCAACTAACTAAAGTTGTGTGATTATTCATCACTGAAATTTAGGACCATAAAAAAATAAGTTAGATTTTTTATAATCCCCAATTTTGTTTGGTTTTATTTAGTTTGAACAATGCTATTGGCATCCAAATAACTTGAACATTACCCTTCATACATGCAGATAGCAAAATAACATTTGTGAAATTTAAATAACAGGTGCCGCAGGTGGCTCTACAATCAAGGTAGATAGGAAACAACACATTCAAGCAACATATTGAAAGCAAAATGATGGACTTAACTTGGTATATAGAAATCCACATAGGTAGATTCCTTTTCTTTATTACATAATTAAAATATGTTATACTCCATACATACGTAGCAGAAAAATATTCTGCATGCTCTGCAATTCCCTCCAGTTCCAAGTTTCAACCAATCCTGCAAAAAGTGTAGCAAATAAATAAGTTTAAAAATTTAAAACAAAACCAATATTAAATTTGAAAGTTTGTTAAAACAATCATAATTACAAATGGGTAAAGCAAGATCCGAAAACAGCTCAATATGTGAAGCAAATAAATACTATAAATATATTCTTTTAATGGTTAAAATTTAAAATAACTCAAATACTATAAAATTTATATTACACTTTTTTTTTTAAAAAAATTTATTTAAAGATGACGAACATTTTTCACTAAAGTCAACTCTATTTGAATCACATTATTATAGACAGCAAACCTTTTGTTCCAAATATCAAACATGGTTACATATATTATGACTTTTAAACTTTGAAAGTTCTGGTTAAATTAGAATAATTTTGTATCAGTTGATCTACCTGTACTTGGTAGTGTATAAAATAAATCTTAATAAATGTTCTGAATAAAGTGTTGAAAAGACTGTATAATAAAAATATTCCTTATTATGTAAAGGATATGTGATTGTATTACTTGGAACAATCTGCATTAGGAGAGATAGCCACAGAAAGGGTAACTCCACAGTTCCCTGGAAGAGCCTGAGCCAATTGTGAATTAATGTTGATGCTCTTGGAAGTTGATTTGATGCAGTTACATGCAGTCTTCTTATCCTCTGAGGTTGATGCAGCAGAGGCAAGAGCCTTAACTCCTGAGCAACAACCAGCTGGTGGCTGTCCACTTCCACTCACCAAGTAGCTCACACATGGCCTCAAGTCCTTCACCACATCACTGCATGAAATTGCACCCTCTGAAGTCGTAGCAAGAAGGATCAGAATCACAATTGCAGCAAATGCTCCTGAAGATTTCATGTTTGCTGAAAGATGATGTTGATGGTGGTTTTGGTCTGAATTTGAACTTGTGTTTTTTCACCGTTTATAGGAGTTTGAAAGGAAGCTAAAATCTACAAGAAAAGTTTGGTTTGATTTTATTTTTTAACATGATATTGGTACGAAGTATTTATCACTAGAAATAGTAACTTATTCGGCTAAAGACCGGGAATACACACAAGTTGTTTATTATTCTTGTAACTGAGTTTATTTTATATACACTTAAAGTCAGGATTTGGACTCTAAATAACTTGATTAAGGGATATAAGTTTTTATCAATTATGACAATTGTCGGAAATAGTTTGGTTTAATTGTGTGAATGAGTGCAAGAAAGAAGAAACTTGACAATTTAAGATTTCCTACCTTGTCAAATTCTGGGTTTGGTGGAAGTAGTGAAGGAGGGGTTATTCAGTTTCAACAAGTAAAACAAGCATGGGAAAGTTCATTGGAGCAAAGCGTTATTTTCTTTTGTGTTTTCCATTCAAGCAAGAATTTAATCACTTAACCTGTTTTATTAAAAACCTATTAATTGTGATGCAAGTAAACCTTGTCAGTGGTGTCACTCTTACAACTTTGTTTCCAACAGTGACATCTGCTTTATTCAGGAACAAAATCATGTGCAAGTTAGCACCGGACGATTATTTGGCTCTGAATTCTGTTTTAATATGTAGAAACAATAGGCCCCTCAATTGGATATCTCAACCATACATTATAAAATATTAGTAGTTTATATTAATTTGTCCCAAAGGGTCTTGCTATCACCAGTTATTGCTTTTGATAGGTGCACTTGCTTGGCTGTTCACCATTTCTATAATTATTACCAATTTTTTTTGTCTGATTGAAACCCGTCAAACTTTTTTAAGGTTTTGTCCTTGAATATGTTTGTTTTTCCTTGAATAAATTCTCACCTATCACTAGTCAGTTCAGTTTGATGTTCAAGTAGTCTCAAGCATTATCATTATCAGGGATGTGATTGATTTATTCTTATAATTAAATATTGGCAATATTTGGTTGATGTAGGTATTATATATATATATATATATATATATATATATCAATATATATCAACAAAGTCTTAGTTATTTATAATATTTAACAGAATTGATTGAAATTACTTAATTTTAAAAATAAAAGAATCAAGTTTATAATAAAGATTTTCAAAAAATTAAAGTTACATATTACAAAAATTATAACAACTAAATGTAGATTTAAGTTGATAGGTAAATAATTCATGGTGGCCATCTTCTGTTAAAAAACGCTTACAGAAAATCAGAAGGTGCAGAAACTCGATGAATCAAAATCAACACAAATTTAGTTGAATTAAAATTTAAAAATGCGGTATAAATAAAAAAAATGACCTCCATCCAAAACCAATGATGACGTGAAAACACAAATGCAGTGAAATTAGAATTGAAAAATGAAATGTTGAAATAAGAAACCCAAATGGAATAAGATGCATGGAGTGCAACCAAGAGCAAGAGGATTGCTATTGAATTCACAAGTCTCATTTTATAGTCAAAGTTCATAATTACAAGCCTAGCTTCAGTATATATATATATATATAAAAGGAGGTATTTGAGGATTAAGACTATTTAAATTTTTTCCGTTCAATAATTCATGTTCTATATCAAATTTCAACGATTCAACCATTGAATTTAAAGTTCTTAATGCAAAAATTAAGTTTGCAAATTTTTAAATAATTTAAAAATTATTTGATACTTTATTCCATTAATTCAAATTGATGGATAATTATAAAAATATTTTATACATTAATTGATGGGTAATTATAAAAAAATTTACAAACTTTAAAAGTTTTTAAAAATTTGCAGACTTGATCTATGCATTAAGAACTTTAAATTCAATAATTGGATTGTTGAAATTTTATGTAGAACATAAGTTATTAAACAGAGTAAATTCAAGTAAACTAAGTCCTAGAGTAAACGGATCCCCCCCCTTCTCTCTTTCTCTCTCTCTCTCTCTCTCTCTCTCTCTCTATATATATATATATATATATATATATATATATAAACAACCCCAAAGATCTTGGTTTTTGAAAAATTATCAACGTCCAAAAAGAATACAGATTCAGGAGATTTATTATAGTTTCTTGAACCATGTCAAGCTCAATATACCATTTCTTGATTGGTTTCATGCTTATACCATTAAGAAAAATATAGATTATCCTTTCAGAGATGACCTTATAGGACAGTATTCCACAAATGTTGTTTGACATCTCAAAGACGGAGAGAAGGTCCAATCTGAACTTCCTCCCAAAACCCAATATCAACTCCCTCAAATTAGGGATGACAAGAACAACCCTATGCTTGTTGCACCCTTCAATACCAAGGATGTAGATGAAAATTTGACTTCTAAAGACATTAAAAGTATTATGGAGCACAAACAAGTATCTCCAGGACAAATTAGCTACCCATAAATCTGAATCAAGCCAACCACTCGCTATCCAAGCCTCAAGTTCTAAACAGTTAGAAAAACCTCTGTTTCAACCATTCAAGCTTAGTCAAAAAGCTAAACAAAGTTTGCACAAGGCTAAGGCAAAAGCCAACATGGATTCTGATGCTAGTGAATTATTAAGTAAAATTAATAATTTGCTTAAAGCTACCACCATCCCTGAAACTCCCCAAGGTACTGAAGAAGCCTCTTCCAGACCTAAAATAAGAATGCCTGCAAGAACTATAGGTGTTTTAAACCAAGGATCAGACCAGGATTCTGATTCTAGTAATCCAAAATCCATCTAGATTAATCCCATCATGACCACCTCCAGAACACAATGGAAAGCTCTAACAAAACCTTATCCCTCTACAGCCTTAGATTTGGCCATAGAAGATAAGGATATCAATAATAGTAGTTTTAATGCCAACAATGTTTATGAATGGAATATCGATGGTAAATCTGAATACAATATCATGCATATGTCACAACATATGACCATGGTTTGTACTGCCTATCAAACAGCCCACGAGAGTTCTGAGGAAGCTATAACAAATATTATAGTATCAGGATTTACAGGGCAACTTAAAGGATGGTGGGATCATTATCTCACTGAAGCACAAAAATTAGGGATCTTTTCAGCTATTAAGATCGATGACAATGGTGAACCAATCTTCAATAATGGTGAAACCATTCTAGATGCTGTAAATACCTTAATTTTTACCATAGCCCAACATTTTATAGGAGATCCGTCTTTATGGAAAGATAGATCTGTTGAACTTTTGTCTAATCTCAAGTGTAAAACCTTAGGAGATTTTAAGTGGTATAAAGATACTTTCCTTACTAGGGTTTTTACCAGAGAAGATAGTCAACAACCATTTTGGAAAGAAAATTTTTTAGCCGGTCTTCCTAGATCTTTAGGCGACAAAGTTAGGGATAAAATTAGGACTTTAACACCTGATAACATTATTCCCTATGACCATCTGTGTTATGGCCAATTAATATCTTTTGTACAAAAAACAGCCTTAGAAATCTTTCAAAATGATAAGCTTCAGAGGCAACTAGCAAAAGAAAAAACCCAAAATAGGAAAGAATTAGGTACTTTTTGTGAACAATTTGGCTTACCAGGATGCTCTAAACAAAAAACTAGGAAAAGTGTTAGGCATGACCAACCTAGCAACACCCACTACAAACAACAACGACATTTTAGGAATCCTAAAAGGAGAAATCAAACATCCACTAGAGAACCTAAAATAGAGACTAAACTCCCACAAGGGAAGAACAAATCCATAGTATGTTACAATTGTAAAAAACCTGGTCATATCAGTAAATACTGTAGACTCAAAAGGAGAATTAGCAACCTCAATCTAGAACCTGAATTAGAAGAACAAATTAACAGTCTTTTAGTCGAAACTTCTGAAGAAGATTCACTGGATGACTATTCTGGTGAAGATATTCATAATGTTCAGCAAGATGATGAAGTCTCATCATCTGATAATAGTGATACACCAAACATAAATGTTCTAACAAAAGAATTAAGTTCTATTCTTGACCCAGAAGAAAAAAGAATTTTTCTAAATAAACTCAAACAGACTTTAGAGACAAAACCCAGGAATTCGGTTGTTAATTACCAATAAGTATGACTTAAATCCTATCCTCAAAAAATTAGAAAAAACTTCTACCAAACCTGTTACTATCCAAGATCTCCAAGCTGAGATTAACAATCTTAAAAGGGAAATTAGGAGTATTAAGGAACAACAGGTCCTTCATCAAAATATTCTTTCCCAATTACAAGATGATTCTGACCAGGAAAAACCTCCTTCTGAACAGGATTTAGAGCATAATGAAGTTGATTGAAGTGATTTCTTAGGTCTTATAAACCGATTAACCATTCAAAAGTTCTTCATCAATATCAAGATTATCGTTGAAGATTTTTTCCTACAAACAGTAGCTCTGTTTGATACTGGAGCAAACTCCAATTGTATCCTAGAGGGACTCATTCCAACCAAATATTTTGAAAAAACATCTGAAAAGCTTAGCACTGCTAATGGATATAAATTACAGATTAGATACAAGCTTTCCAAAGACACCATAGAAAACCAAGGTCAACAAATTGAAACCTCTTTTTTATTGGTCAAAGACCTTAGAAATGAGGTTATTCTGGGAACTCCTTTCATTAGGGCTTTATTTCCCTTAGAAATTACTGATGAAGGTATATCTTCTCACAAAGGTGATAAATCTATTATCTTTAGATTCATTAAGAAATCCATCAGTAAAACCATCAATCTGATAGAACAAAAATCCAACTAGATCAACTATCTGAAGGAAGAAATTTCCTTTAAAACTATTGAGCAACAGCTTGAGCAAACTTATATCCAAAACAAGATCAAAGATCTTTTAATTACAATCCAAAACTCTGTTTGTTCAGACATTCCTCATGCTTTTTGGGATAGGAAACAACACATTGTTAATCTTCCTTATGAAAAAGATTTTAAAGAAAATCAAATTCCGACCAAAGCTAGACCAATCCAAATGAATGAATAGCTGCTTCACTACTGCCAAAAAGAGATAAAAGATCTCCTAAGCAAAAACCTTATCAGACCTAGCAAAAGTCCATGGTCTTGTGCAGCTTTTTATGTCAACAAACAAGCCGAACTTGAGAGGGAAACTCCGAGATTAGTTATAAACTATAAACC